GATGACATGCTTAGTGAATACCTCAGGCAGCAGAAACCAGAAGAACAAGGGAAGGAAGAGCAGGAACCCTCATGGAAGGACAAACCCCTGCATGTTATGTACCACTGTCAGATAGAAGAAGTGGCTGATATCAAAAAATCATACCAGTGAATCCTACTGAAAGACAGCACAGTGGCACTAATCCTGGCAGCACAGGAACAGGCTCTAAGTACAAGATCAATAAAGGCTGGGGTCTACCATATCAGACAGGACCCCAGGTGCAGGCTGTGCAAAGATGCCCCTGAGACAATCCAGCACATAACAGCGGGGTGCAAGATGCTAGCAGACAGGGCATACATGGAACGCCATAACCAAGTGGCTGGCATAGTGTACAGAAACATCTGTGCTGAGTACAAGCTAGAGGTCCCAAAGTCAAAATGGGATACACCTCCAAAGGTGGTTGAGAATGACCAAGCTAAGATCCTGGCCAACTAAGATAAGATCAGATAATGGCCAACCAACTGGACATAGTAGTGGTGGACAAACAGAAGAAGAATGCCGTAGTGATAGATGTAGCAATCCCAAGTGATAGTAACATCAGGAAGAAGGAATACGAGAAGCTCGAGAAATACCAAGGGATGAAAGAAAAGCTAGAAAAGATGTGGAAGGTGAAGGCACAAGTGGTCCCCATGGTAATAGGAACATTGGGGGCTGTGACCCCCAAACTGGGGAAGTGGCTCCAACAGCTTTCAGGAACATCTGAGATCTCTGTCCAGACGAGTGCAGTCCTAGGAACAGCTAAGATACTGCGCAGGACTCTTAAGCTCCCAGGCCTCTGGTAGAGGACCTGAGCCTGAAGGAAGGAATAAAACTGCCCCTAAGTGGGGCAGGAGGGGAATTTTATATATGTGTGTATACACTTGTTCATAGAACTCTGCACCTTTCAGGTTACTGCCATATGAGCAACTGTTATCCATAACTTCATTTCACTAACTTGAGTATTCTGTGGTGTCCCTCCCTGTTTTAGGCGATTAAGAGAACCAACAGAGATCAACTGTGACAACTCCTAAGGAGAGGTGTTATATGAATCTGACGTCATGTTGTTGATATGAATCAATATGGGTTTGGATACCTGACCAGACCAAACAACTGATCCTATTACTGTGAGTACCAAACTGTCTCTAATACTCACATTCTAAAAAGAGAATCATGGTACCGTTTATCATTTTGCATACTCACATGTCAATCTGACAGCAAATGCAGCACACTGCTCACAGTAGTTTTAAAAGTGATGTTCCTAATGATACTCGAGTACAAATGCCATCATTCAAACCACATTTTCCTATCTAGCCATGTTCTTGTTGCTTTTGTGACTTTTACACTTATTTCAGACTGTTTGTATAGTAACTAACAATCATAGTCATCAGTTTCTTTTGTGAATGAAACATCTTGTATTGACACCATATCTAGCACTTAAAAGCACATTACTAAAGGACCACACCAAAGGAGCTGCCAGCAGGCAGTGTGGTGCACCTGGGAGTGCTGAGCTGAAGAGTGCCGAGCCCAGTCAGGGAACTGAGATCTGGAGCTGGGGAGTGAAGAACCAAGAGTATGTATATGTATATATATATATTTAAAAAATCCCCACTCGCCCCCCACTTTGGGGCGGTCTTGTATGCCTTTCCTTCAAGCTCAGGTCGGTTGGCCATTACCAGTTTTTCAGTTTGTATCTGGAAGTCCCACAGGATCTTTACTTGGTCATTCTCAACCACCTTTGGAGGTGTATCCCATTTTGACTTTGGGACCTCTAGCTTGTACTCAGCACAGATGTTTCTGTACACTATGCCAGCCACTTGGTTATGGCGTTCCATGTATGCCCTGTCTGCTAGCATCTTGCACCCCGCTGTTATGTGCTGGATTGTCTCAGGGGCATCTTTGCACAGCCTGCACCTGGGGTCCTGTCTGGTATGGTAGACCCCTGTCTCTATTGATCATGTACTTAGAGCTTGTTCTTGTGTTGCCATGATTAGTGCCTCTGTGCTGTCTTTCAGTCCAACTTTGTCCAGCCACTGGTAGAATTTTTTGATATCAGGCACTTC